TTGCATATTGAAAGACACCGGAAGCACGCTGTATTTCTCTCCTTCTGTCCTCAGCATCTTCACCAGTAAATCTGCAGGGATAAAGAGCTTTTGTGTGGTTCTTCTACATTTTTGTTGACCCCTGCTGATGTAAATCAAACATACTGTCCTCCTGTTATCTTCAGGTTTAGAAAACCTATTTTTAATCACTTCATACAGGTATCTAATTTGAATCAGCCTGCCACGCTACAGGACTCTTGTGTTTCTTTAATTGGCATCTTTCTCATTATGTTTGAACAAAGTTGCAGAGGCACTGCAGGACGCCAGTAGAGACATCTGAATCACCAATCCTGTTGGGCTGGCAACATGGCGGTATGATACACCAGGGGCGTCTAGGAGATCTGCGTATGTGGTGAAGGGGACTAAGTGGAAGCAATCAAGTTCAGACACGTTGCTGTGAGTGTTTCTAGGTCCTGCCTATACCCTCTGAACTAGAATTGCGACAGAAATTTTGCCCGGGATTTTTAACGCCAGTATGGTGTTAAACCAGCCTGGTTTCTAAGAACAATTCCTGGGATTGTAGTAAAGCGGAGCTCCCTGAAGGCATTGATGGAACGTAGGGCAGGTATGTGGAGTACATAAAAACCAGTGTGTTAACCCACTGCAAGGATGGGCAGGATACTCAACCAGTTCATGGAGTCAGTCCCACTTAAATTTCTTTAGAATTTGAAAGTCAGCCCTTAGATAACTGCTGAGAGGCCAATTTTTTTTTTTTTTTTTTTTCCCAAAGAAAGTAGCTCTTAGCCTTAGACATGGTTATATGATGCCGTGACTCCTTGTGATTGCTAACAAGGTATGTCTAAACTCAGCATGTTGATGTGCCTGGCAACATAAAAAGGAGAGGAGAGACCAGAGCAGTATAGAATATGTTATTTGGCACCAAAGCACCTTGCTTTCCTCTTAGTCCGTCATCCAGAATCTTGCCATTTGCAACAAAGACTTTCACAGTTCTGGTGGACAGTTTGGTTTTTCCAATCTCCCCCTTACTACTGAAGATTAGGGTGTTCTTAGGGCTCTGCAGCTCCCTGGGAGAACTGTAGATGGGGCCCCTGCTGCGCCAAGCACCAGAATTTTCCACCTGCCTTATGGTGCTAGTCATTTTTTCATTCTTTTTAAGGCTTTGCTAGAGGGGTTGGGGCTCCTTTGCCTCCCTAATGACAGTTGCTAGAGATTTAACTCTGAACCGAGAAGACAAGTTTGTAGAAAACCAGGAGTATCATCTACTGGGTAGACCAGCATTGCCTGTTCTTGCATTCAGGATGGATAATGCAGCCTTTTACTAAGACGGCTGGGAGCCCTCTGTTCCAGCCTCTTTCTTGTGGGGTGACCCCATGTGTGGCATAACCAAAATTCGGTGTCTCTGCCATGGGAGATGTACGCTCCTGGGCATGCGACAAGAGTTTGCTTGCCTGTTCTGCTGTGTCGCCAAGCGTAGGCCAGCCATGGGACCGCCATGCAGGCCCTCACTGTCACATGGGAGGTGTAAGTCCAGTCCTGTGACAGGGCTGAAAGCCGTCAGCAGTTACATGTCCTCTTTCCTCTTCCTGCAAGTGAACTAAGTACATAGCCATCGACCTGCTCCCATAATGGGGAGGAGGACTTGCAGGCCCACAGGAATGTGGTGTGACGGTGAGCAGGCTCTCATTGGGCGTTTTGAACCAAGCAAGCAGGCAGACATTTTTATGTTGGCAAAACGTTATTAAATCAGGATTCTCCATTCAATTGCATCACTTAGGATTTTTTTTTATGCTCCTTTTGTATGGTTTAGGTAGACTGAATGATTTATAAGGCAACAGAGAATTGAGCCATTGATGGTTTGGATCCATTTAGAAAGACTCGCAGGCAAGGAACCAGTTGTACAGATCACATCTTGTGGGGTTTATCAGTCAGGTCAGACAGATACTTAGATTCTATGAGAATTACAGCTAATTGGATTCATTTCTGATCGAGGGCTAAAACTAGCTTAAGTTGGAATCTACTTCATATTTGCTTTCAAACAATCTCAAGGTTTGAAAGTGTCTGGTTTTGGTTCTACAGTTCTGCATGTACACAAACACCATGCAACTTTGAAAGTAGTTGTTTTGGGTTCCATTTTAGGTCTGGTCTAGGTGTTGCCATAATGGGATGGAATCGTGCTCAGTTCTAGCGTTCTTGCAGAGACTCAGGCTTCCTCAAAATATGAGGAAATTTGACCTGTAATCCATGTTCAGATACATATATGACATTTCTAGAAAGTTACAGGAAGTAAGGATCTAGATGCCTCCCAACTTAACAGTCTTTGGATCTGGATCAATGGCAAATCTAAACATTGTTTGAACTTAAGTGTCTGACTTAGTACTCAGATTTCAACCTGAATGTCTGTTAAATTTGAAGGATTCAAATCTGTATTTTATCCAAACTTGGTACCTTTTGAATCTCTCTTCAGATTTGTATGTGTAAGGTAGGTAAGACTGAGGAATGAATGTCAGTTTGGGGTCAAATGTTCCAGAGTACTAAGAACTTCCTATATCTGATATCCTCATTTTGGTGTAGATCTAGTTTTTAAATTTTAAATTCAGAGACTATTTGTATTATTTGAACTGAATAGAAGTATATAAAATATTGTGATTTTCATCAGCTGGCTTTGATACAGGTCCCCTTTGATAAAATATTTCTATTTTTCCCATAATATTCTCCATCATAAAACTCTGAGAGATGCCAGGCTGAGATAGGAAGACGAAGCACTTCATATATTTATGGTACCATCTGCTCATGAAACTACAGTTGAGTCCATTTTACAGATGGAAAAACTGAGGCCGTGAGTGGTCAGTTGGTACATACGCGGACAGATTGAGTATGTAACCACATATTCTAACCACAGTTAGAAGCAAAGCCTCCAAATGCTCCTTCTGCTTTCCTGACCTTACATACCCTTCAATAAGGTGAATATGGTCATAAGGTCCAGAGAAGCAGATGTATAATAGGGCTAAATTTTTGCAATATATATTTGGAGTAACTTGTAGAGCTGCCTCTACATATGCCAAGTGTATATGTACTTAAATATTACAGAAGGAGTTGAACTAAGTCACCTAATAGAGCTTTTTACTCTTTATATTTTACCCTAAGCTAAGAAAGGCTGTGTTTCGATGAAAACACTAATGAAAATGAACCTTTTGAAAAAAATTACTTAATCCTTCTGTATTTACTGTACATCTGGATGAAAACAGAATGTTTATAAGCAAAATACAAAAATGTGTAGCAGCTACCAGTGAACAAAACTAATCAAATTCACCAGTCACCAGGCTGGTTAATATTATAAAGACTGTGTGAATCATAAATATCCAGCCAGCCTGAGGGTACAAATCCATGAATCTAGGGAGTTTACCTGTCTCTTTTAGTCAGCAGGCTATCCCTTTTTGATCACTACAATTTAGGCATATATTGCCTAATAATAATTGCGATAATAAAAATGTATTTTGGGAAGCAGGATGTTGTAATAGAGCTTTAGATCAGAAGTGAGATTCATTTTACTTAATTTTAGCCAACTACAAGCTAGCTGCCTAGCCTAATCTAGTTGTGTAGGCTCCCTCCTTGGTGGAGAGAGGGGGGGAAAGCTGGGATGGATTGGTTTTGGGAGGTGCCTGTCTTTCCACTGACAATAGAGGGAGCCTACACAACTGCCTTAGATAGCCACCTAAAAGTTAAGTGTCCTATGAGTTACTCCAGGCAAATTCTGTGTTAAGCATCAGGAGATTTGGGTTCTCATCTGTTTTTCCACCGATTTACAGCATAACCTTGGGAATATCACTTAACTTTTTTTTTTTTCTTGGACCCAGTTAAAGTTCTTGGAGAACCTTTGTCCAAAGATGAAATACAGGTGCAAAATGTTGTTTTCCTGCTCTTGCTACTTTCACATGCCTGTAGTTGTCACTAAAATCAACAGAATTTTTGTGACAGCATAAGTTTACACGTGATGAGAGGCAGGGCTGAGTGAAAATTGTTTTAGAAGCAGCATATATCTTGTTCAGATATGACAGAATATTGTAAAAATAAAAATCCTGTAACTGGTTACGTGTATTGATTTTCCCATCTCTGCCTCCCCTTCGTGCCTTCCCTCTAGCCACCCCCCCCTCACCCCCCCAGCAAAAAAATATAGGGAATGGGGAGAACGTTCGTCAAATTAGACCTATATTTTAAATAACCTTGGCCTGTTTGCAACTGGGAAAATGTTTTTTTACTTGAGAGATTTATTTCTGTCCTTGTAACACCATGTACTATATGCATTGCACCTGTTCAGACATAAGCACACCACATTATTATAGCTGTAGGGGTAGAAGCTTCCCAATATATATTTTTGAAGGGAGGGAATGCTGGGGAGAGTAGACCTCTCTGTTCAATTGTTTACCGAGCAGTCTCTTACGAAGACTTCTTCCTCATCAAGATCAATTTTCCCTGCTCCCCTATTGTCTGGGGAAACCTATCTTCAGGAGCGTCTTTCTTGAAAGATCTCATGACTTTAAAATCATCAGTGGGCTTTGTGTAGTCTGCCTGTCAAAAGAGATATGTTTACACCTTCCCTGCATGTGTTAAAGCTATAAGGTTACGGAGCAGAATGGCTGATACGTTTCGGCGCTTCATGCTAATACGCACAAAAAATGTATTTATGATAATTATATGGACTGTCTGAAACAATGCATTCCAACATCCTGTAACATAAATAAGAAAGGTGGAGCCAGCCGGCACCGAACTGTTTATTTGCCAGCAATCCTGCTCAGCCCCGTATACCTTTTCTACGCTGCCTCAGCCTGGCAGTATTGAACCTGTTGCTGCATTAGCCGAGTTGTATTTTGCTAGATAGGGGAAGGAGGGTTGTCTGCTGTCTGGTAGGAGGGCTTTGTCTGTGTGCGCCTTTCTCTCCCTCTCCCTCTCCCTCTCCCTCTCTCTCGCACGCTCGCTCGCTCTCGCTCGCTCTCTCTCGCTCGCTCGCTCTCCCTTTCCCGTCTCTGTGGTTTGTAAGGTAGGTTGCAGTGTGTGTATATACACAACATCAAGAGCAGGAAAATGGACTCATTAGGGAGGCAGGCAGTCATTACCACTCACACTGTACTTCCAGGGAGACAGCGACTATGAGGAGACAAACTGAGGACTGGGGAACAAGGTAGGCCAGTCAACTTTTACAAAAAATAAAAGAATAAAGCCTCTGCTCTCCTTAAACCACCAACTCTTCTTTATTCCCTCCCCCCCCCCCCCCCCCCCAATTTAGAGATGTAAGTTTGCCAGACCTATTTGCTAGCTTAAAATTCAGAACATCTATAGAAGGCCTTACCCTCTACAAATGTTTTTCCCCCTTCTACTTATTTAAGGGTGTGCCCCCTTATGATTCACTTTAATTACTTTTTTTTAATCACGAAGGAAACAAATACGTTTGTTTTCCAACACTAGTTCCAAGTAAATCAGTATCTTTCACTCTTTTAAAACAGCCCTCTCTGTATGTTTGTGGGTCTCTCTGCTTTTTTCTTTTCTGTTTATGCAGTTCCATCTGTCTGTCCATATATCATGTTCTCCTTATTTACTGCTAAATGGGGTTTTATTAGTATTTGCCAATGACTTTTAACTGTAACGCTGGTGACCAGGGTTAACGGTGACTCTCGTTCTTTGTTTTCTATATATATGCACACTGTAAGTTTAAAGTCCATGCTTGGCATACAGTAAATAAAAGCAAAAAAAGAGAAAGCAGGTTCCGCTCCTCCTGACAGGATTTTTATTCGGAGATTTTGCTGTTTGTCTGTTTTGGTGTGGGGGCGGAGGGGGTTAATTTTGGTTATTGTACATGTACTTTTTCCTCCAGAATATTTTTAACGTCTATTTTTCATTATTAGTGTTTTTCCAGTTTCCTTTACTAGGAAGAAAGGAGACGTATATTCCAACTTTTATGTTGCTGATCTAATGTAACATTATGGAGGCATCACTGGGTTAATAAGAATTCAAACTTTCTAAGAGGGAGTTTGTATCCTTGGCTGCCCCCCACCCTCCCACTTTATGCATGGTTATGCTTGTGTTTCCGTGTGTGCTGCCGGGGAAGGGAGGGGGGAAGGGAATAGATATTTTTTACAGTGGTGGCAAATTATGAAATCTATCGAGCCATTTTGTCCAGAAATAGTAACTATTTATTTACCATTTTTCATTCCACAAATATGCTGCTTATTTGTAATTTCAAACATTGAAGCTTTTCTCTGAATTAATCTTTTTTTTTTTCCTTTTTTTTTCCCCCTTCTTTTTTTCTGGGGAGGGATTTGTGATGCATTTCATAGCCCATTTAGCATTGTTGAGTTTTTGGAGCCCAGATTTATCATGGGTTCTAAAGACTGCTTAAACTGATCCATTTGAAATGGTCTTTTTATCTGAGCTCCTGTCATTTCTGTTGGAGAGTAAAACTGCTACTCTGCTGGTAACAAAAAAAAAAAAGAAAAAAAGAAAAAAGAAAAGAAAAGAGATAGTGGAAGTGAGTTACATAAAATGTTCTGGAGAATCCTAAGTAATTATATAAAATGGACGCTGATGAGTGGAGATCTCTCAAGAATAACAATCACCTTTTTTAATAGAAAATTATTTATTTAATAGCAAGAGGCGGACTTCTTAAAAACATGCATTAGGCCTTCCTCTTAGCACAAAGAAGTCCGTAATGCAATATTCCCAACCCACCTGGGACTGCCTAGGAGATTCTCCAAAACCTTCAAATCCTTTGAAATGTTTCTTAAAAATCCATTATTTTACAGCCAGAGAGAACTTCTGCTGCCAACAGGTTTTTTTGCTGTTGTTTGGGGCTTTTTTTTAGCTGTCCTTTAACTTACGACTCCCCAGTTTCAACAGAAGTGCCTCCTCGCTGAACAAACTAAGTTAATTGAAATCCAAAGCAGCAGATCTATTCACTGGCACTACAACCGCAGAAACTACTTGCTCCATTTTATTAGCAGCTTTATTTCCAGAACCTGAGCGAAACTTTTCACGGTTTTATATATCAGTGTGCCAAGAATTGGTGGCTCATCTCTTAGCTGGGGAATGACATTCATTGCTTCTTGTTTGTTTTTTTTTTTCTTCCTCCTCCTTTTTATTCAAGCTTCTAAACTAATATTTTGTTGATCAACTTTAAATGTGTTTATTGTTTCAAACGACCTGTTAACTGTAGCAAGGTGTTTCCTCCCCTCCTAAAGTTTGAATCTCAAGCTTTGAAACTCAGATTTGGGTGTAGAAAGGATTGTGAAGCTATGCCAAAAATGTAGGTGTCTTCAAGGTGGAGTTGCTGATGCCTTTAGATGGTGGTCAGCCTGGAGTGATGCAGCTGGAGTGTTAGCAGCCGTCCCCCTCGTGGGGTGGGTGGGTTTTCAGGCACCTGTCATTTTCTCCTGAACCAGTGCAGGTGTACGTTCCTCAACAGCCCAGGTTTTTGTAGGAAAGCACATGGACCTGTCCTCAGGATTCTTGCGTCCATTTAGCAGAAGCCCAGCCTCATCTTAGCATTTTTGAAAAACTTTTAAAATGACTGCAAGATACCTCTTGATTTTATGAAAACCCCAGGCAAGAAGAATTCGAGCAGACAAGGAGAGTCGGAGTAGGAGAAACATTTTTCATTACCCAGTAAGATCTTTTTTTAATCTTAAAAACTTTTTCACTAGGAGGATTTAATTTTCTTTGAACCCCAAGTATATTCTAGCAAAAAAGTATCTTAGCCCTTTCAATAGCACAAAGTCAGTTTGCAATTTGAATAGAGCAGCAAAGGGTAAAGTATGCCTAAGTAAACTTAAATCCGGCATATGATGCTGTAGCTGGAACTCGGGGAGCGTCAGGCCTGTTGGCCAGGGGGGTAGGACCGAGTTTGGCGGAGCAGTGTGTCCGGGGCGGTGTGGGGTGCTCTGGGTTCCCATGCTCGCAGCCCAGGCAGCTGTGCGGAGCAGAGCTCGTGGTGTTGATTGGGTCACAGTGTGCTTTATTTTAGCGTTGGAGCAGACAGTTATCTAACACACCCACATGAGGAAGTGCTCTGGAGCAGTTATTTCATGCTTTGCCATGCCCTGTAGCTAGAGTAATTTTGGTCTGAATGGCATGTGTATATGCCTCTTTCACTCCTGTGAGACGAAAAGCAATGCTGTTGGTTTTTTTGTGTGTGTATGCTTTTGTGTGGGGTTTTTTTTTAAGTGTTTTTTTTTTTTAAAGGGAACCAAAAAATGGGATATAAGACAGTCAAATCCAAATACCAAACAAATACCAAGTCAAATTACATTTAGTAGTAGAGGATTTTGCTTCTCTTTTAAAGGAGGAAAAAATATCAATCTTGTTTATTTTGATAAAGACAGTTGTAGCAATTTCCTGAGTTGGATATATCATTATTATAAATATTACTCACAGTTTTCCTATTTTTCACATTTTCTTCATAGGCCCAGCTTATACATAAGGGAAAACAGCTGCAGAAAATTAAAAAAAATATAATATTATGTATATGAAACTTTGATGTAAATAGGGAACAGTGTCCCCTGCTAGAGAATTCTGTGGGATGGCTTACAAATCCCATACAAGGGAGATTACAGTCTTAGATAAATTGTTATTTAAATGATTTCAAGAAAACCCTGTTCGTTTTTGCAGACCATATGAGGTTTTAAGCAGAATGATTTGAATAGGAGTTCTGTTTAGAAATTGATGGTATGCTGTGTGGCCTTATAGATTTCAGTTGGTTTCACTCCTGTCTCTTTTTATAGGACTTTTTTCACACTGTGATCAGTAGAAGTTCTTCACCATACGGAAAAAGATGCGTAAATGTTAATGGAAAATTAAACACTGAAATTTAAGAAAAACTTTTAGAAAATCCAAATCCTTTATAAATGTTTTTAATTTTTTTAATGAAACAATGCACTGGAAATAGTTGTTTTTAAAGAATAACTTGTTCCCTCTGTAGGGTCTGCAGTTCAAACTGTGCTGCAGAGGGAAAATGATGGCAAATCAAAGTGAAACGGACTTCACTGATTTTATTAGTTTGGCCTAAGAAAATTCAGAAAGTAAACAAACTATCAACTGTGAAAAATAAATTGGATTTTTAATAATCTATCTATGCCAATAATCCAGGTTTCTCTTGGTAAAGAGTAGTGTTTAACCATTCACCAAATTTTGAGATACTTTCGTAATATCTGTATAGCTTTAACTTAAGCAGATTTTCACAGGTTTATCAAACTTGCAGTGAGGAGTGAATAAAGGCAAAGGCTTTTGTCCAGGATGGTTTTTGCTTTGATGATGTTACCTATATTCCTCGTAATTATTTATCTTAAAAGTTAATATTTAGTTCTAACGGCACTGATCCAATTCTCCTCTAATAGGAAACCGGCATTTCAGAATTATTATGTCCTTCATGTTTTCGTACATTTTTGTACTTAATCCTTCAGTGCCATCGTGTACTATGATGGCATTTTGAGCCTATGTCTTTCATGTTTTCGTACATTTTTGTACTTAATCCTTCAGTGCCATCGTGTACTATGACGGCGTTTTGACCGCCCGGCGCTGGCAGGAGTTCTGTTTGCGGACGGTTCTTGTAAAATGGTCACCAGCGGCACAGGGACATGCGCCACCTCCTTCTTCCATAGCCCCTGGGGCAGCCAGGACTGCCGGTGCCGCGGGACAGGTTGCTACACATCCCAGAGGTTTGCAAGAAGAAAAAAGTTCAGCTCTTATCACGTGCAGTGAAGACTCTGTATCTTGAAGTAGTTAAAATACAGGAGTGGGAAATCGGGCTAATGGGATAAAGCTGTCTTTAAAGAAAAAACTACTGTTCCTCTGACAGCTGGGGTTTGGCTTTGGTGAAATGAGTGTGGAGGGTCCCAGCCTGTTTCTGATGGGGCAGATGTTCACCTCGCAGAAAAGCGAGCCACTGACCGATTTGGCACTAGGTGGCACTATGGGAAGAAAGGCCATGGACTATGCGAGCACAAAGGCTGAAATCCTTTCATGCCAAGAAGTGGGCTCTTCCCATCAGCGACAACCTGCCCCGTGGAGGGCAGATTTGCAGCCTATGCTGTACTTGTTGTTATCAGGTACTGTTCCTCAACATCTTTTATGAAAGATAGGTATTCTAACAGAAACCAGTCCTACCTAATTCAAACACTGGCAACATCTTCA